AGATGCTACAAAACTTCCAGGACAGCTCAGGGAAACAAAACTCAAATTATTTGACAGCAGTTTCTCCATTCAAATAAGGCTTCTGCCAAAAATCCTTTGTTTAGATATATCCTACTAACTATAAAGCGCTTCGTCTGTCGTCTGTCTCTGTCGTCTGTCTGTATGTCTGTCACGAAATTCCCTAGCTCCTCGGGATCCGCCTGGAGGGACCGGGTCAAGTGTGGATGGGTGGGCAGGGTCTCACGTAATACAAAACACACATCAGCTAAGCGGAGCCCCGCCCACAGAGGGCGTGGCGTGCGTCGAAATGAATTGTACCAAAGACCAAGATTTCGATTTCAGTGAAAAAACGACCTCGAAACTGGGCCAAAAGTGGGCTAAGGTGTGCATTGGTAAGTAACATCGAATTAGGGAGACCCACCCCCGGTGGGCGGGGCGTTCTCTAAAAAAGCAGTGCTTTATGAAAAATTTCATAACTCGGTTGGGAGAAAGCCTACAGAGCAGAAAACAATTTGGTGTAAGGGAGCAATGTCTAAGGTGTTTCCTGCATACATGACGTGGGCGGAGGCCCGCCCAGAATGGGCGGGGCGCGCTCTGAAGTGTACAGCATTTTCTACAAGCCCTCATAATTCGGGTCGGGGAAGTCTTAAAGAGCCGGAAAAAGGTGGATAGAGGTGTATGGAGGAGTGGAGGCCAGCTGTCATTGGTGGGCGGGGCTTGACCAAAGTGGGCGGAGTTTGCGACGAAAATTTATAACTCGGCTCCATGAAGCTCCCGGAGGCTGGGGAAAAAGGTGGATAGAGGTGGGTGGAGGAGTGGAGGTTAACTGTCATTGGCGGGCGGGGTCTGACCAACCAGTGGCGAGTTTGCAGGGCAAAAAATATAAAACTCGGCTCCAAGCTCCGGAGGCCGGGGAAAAGGTGGATGGAGGTGGGTGGGGAGTGGAGGCCAGCTGTCATCGGTGGGCGGAGCTTGACCAAAGTGGGTGGAGTTTGCGACGAAAATTCAGAACTCTGTTCCAGAAGGTCCCGGAGAGTGGGGAAAAAAGAAGATATAGTTGGGTGGGAAAGTGGAGGTCAAAGGCCAGTGGTAGGCGGGGCTTGGCCAAAGTGGGCGGAGTTTGCGACGAAAATTCATAACTTGGCTCCAAGAAGTCCAGAGGCTGGGGAAAAGGGAGTCGGCGAAGGAAAGGAGGTCAAATGCTATTAGTGGGTAGAGCACGCACCTAAGTGGGCGGAGTTTGCCAAAAGTGTCGCAATTCGGTTGCAAGAGGTCCTAGAGATAGGGGAAAACGGGGTTAGAGGTTGGTGAGGGAAAAGAGCTCAACTGCTATTACTGGGTAGAGCACGCACCTAAGTGGGCGGAGTTTGCCAAAAGTGTCGTAATTTGGTTCCAAGAGGTCCCAGAGACCGGTGAAAAAGGGGGTAGAGGTCGGCGAAAAGAAGGGAGCCAAATGCTATTGGTCGGCAGGGCACGCACCGAAGTAGACGGAGTTCGCCACGAGATTTATTGTCCGGGCCGAGGACCGAGAAAAATAGGATAATGGTTGACGAAGAAAGAGCGCATAGAATTTAGCGGAGAATTCAGATATTCGTATTGTATCAAGCCAAATTTGAAAATTTTCGTCGCACCATCAAAATTCGCCACAGATCTGTGTTGCGCGCGCAATGCGTGCGGCGCCAACTGGTATATAAATACGTCGTAATACGAACAAACATTATAATGTCAGGGCCAAGCCAAAAATTTGGGGTACGTAGGAACTAAATTATGAAACACGTCGAAACGCCTGACCTCCCTTCAACCTGTTTCTTAACTGTTGCGCACCCGCAGCTTCTCTATTCCTCCCATTATATTTCTCATTCATCATTAAACAACCGGAAGATGTCATATGAAATTTTAATGAACTGTCAATGATCGACGAATTTCAACTTTTCTGACACCGTGAACATTTTACGCAGAAAGACCAAAAAGTAGTTTGGAAAAGGAAGTGAGGCGGTGGGGGGGGGGGGGCAAATCGCAGGACAGAGCCCCTAAGACTTCAAAACTATTCCGTGGTTGGTTGTGGGTTGTTCGCCAGAAAACGGTTTTTGCCCAGTTCTTATCATGCACTACAAAGTATAAACCATGCGATAATCAACAACGAAAACGACTGCATTCGTGCAATCTAGCTAGTCTCAAAATAAATATCTACCATGCACTTCAAATAACAAATACAAATACATAGTGCATGAAGTCTTCACCTCAAGAGCCGATTTCATTTCGAGGGGGATCGGAGCTTCGCTGTGCGACACTTCGTCCAGAAGAATTTCCTCTTCGAGTAGTTGCGCAGCTTTCTCCTCTTCCTAGATTTAGCGCACTGACAGCAATCGTACGGACACAATCACAGTTGACAAAACAAATCATGCAAACACTAGGGAAACTATGGTGCTGAATCGTCAAAAGACTACCTCACGAAGCTGAGCTTGACGTTTTCTTTCCAATTCTCTTGCTTTCTCCTCTTCCTGCAAGCGTGCAAGACACTCTACAGGCAACCAGACAGATTGAATACAATAATAGACAGGACTTTCGTGCTTATTTTTCTTGAAAACCCAACACCTGGCTATGCCTAGCAATCTCAGGCTGTTCGGCTTCTTATGTACTCAACAGTGAACTTACTAATGTGGACGTATATAAGGCAAATTAAATCGAGAACCGTCTCATAATATAACTACTGAAGTACAGATGTGAAAGATCGTATGGTAAGTACTGCTTACAGCTTTAATTCTGATCTCCTCTTGTCGCTGACGTTCCTCCTCCTCTTTTCTCACTTTTTCAGCTGCCTGAAAAAATTCTTGTGAAGAGAATTTAAGTGTCGGAATCTCAGAAATTTCGATACACCGCCGCGTTTAGCTACCCTGCCCTAAAATGATCCCCCTACTTTGATCTTTCGCCAAAAATAATAAGTGACGAGTTGCCTTAACCACCCCTGCAGATACTACCTTGCTGGCGTTGAATCACTGGTTTCATTGCGTAACACATTCGCACATCCGCTAACAGGTCAACTCACGCCATGTTGCAATCTACAAGACAAAGGGAGGGTCGTATTTTTGATGAGTTTGTAGAGGGGGGTCGTACTTGCTTCGGTTTTATAGGAAGTATACCCCCCCCCGCTCTCGACGGTAATTTTTTGGGGTAAAAATTGTATTGAAGAGGGGGTCGTCTGAAACATTTCATGAGGGAGGGGGGTCGTAAAAAAATTTTTTCGAAAAGTAGCAACGATAGGACCGACCCTGACCCTAACGGTCCTTCTTATTTGAGGCTCTCCTACGACCTCCTTCAACCACCTTCGTGACAAAAGTGGAACTACAGGGTGGGGCAAAATTACTGGTGCACTAAATTTTCAATGGCATTTTGACAATAATTCTCACAAATCAATTCTAATTATCAATATTATTTACTACAAACATGACAATACAAAAAATGTTAATGCTTCTCAAAATGATCTCCTTTAGCCTTCACACAGTCCTTCAGACGTTCGACAAATGCTTCGCATGTGGCACGCAGGTACTGGTCATCGATTTCGTCCCAAGATTTTGAAAGCGCCGCCTTAAGAGAGTCCAAGTTTGGATGTCTGGTAGAACACGCTTTGCTCTCCAAGATGGACCACACAGAGTAATCCATCGGGTTTAGATCAGGAGAACTGGAGGGCCATTCGTCGTGTCTGATGAAGTCGGGCAGGTGCTCGGCGCACCACTCCTGGACCATCTTTGCTTTGTGTGCTGGAGCAGAATCCTGCTGGAAGCACCAGTAGGCTTCTCCGAAATGGGAGTTGGCCCACGGCTTGAGAACTTCCTCCAGGATATTTTTGTAAACCTCTGCGTTGATTTTTACACCAGCTTCAACGAAAACAAGTGGGGTCTTCCCCGTAGAGGTGACTCCTCCCCAAACAAGAATGGACTGGGGGTGTTTCGCTCTTTCCTGGAGTCTTGCCTTGGTGGTAGCATCAGCAAGTGATCCTGCAATAATCCTCTCATTTTGGGAGTTGAAGGCTGGATTCAGAGTAAAAATCTTTTTCATCACTGAAAACGATGTCTCGGGCGCGTGCCACCGTGAATCGCTGCAGCAACTTCTTGCATCTCTCCAATCTCCTTTTCTTCATAATGTCCGTCAGGAGTTGGCATTTCTGCAAGCGATAGGGGAACTTCCTTAGCTTACTTCTGACAATCCTCCTCATTGACCTCGCGCTTACTCCGCCATCTGGCGCCATCGATCTCCTGGCGTTCCTTCGAATTCTTTCTCTGACGAGCCTCACATTTCTCCGACTCGTAGCTGTTGTGGACGTCCTGTCCTCTCGTTCAGTTTTATAGCGTCGTACTGTATTCTGAACCGTCCTTCGAGGTACGGAAAGGATCTTCACAATTTCTCTTGTTTGCTTGCCGTCGTTGTGAAGTTTGATGATCGCGCTCCGTAGGTCAGAACGACGGACCATTTTGTATTCGAGTACGTAGGAAATTACGCAACCTCCAGGCAACATATCACAAGCGAGTGAAACAGGAAAATCTCCAAGAAGTGTTAAAAAATTCAAAACGTATAGGTGCACCAGTAATTTTGCCCCACCCTGTATTGAGAATTACTACATAAATGTACAAAATATGATCGTGACTGTAGGACGTGCTTATGCTAAGGCACTTTGCATACGTCCAGACGGCGAGGTAAAAAAGGGAACCACCTTTTGGTCACATTCGCGCTACTTCCTCCTGACTTGCAATATGAGGGAAGAGAAAATAGAAAGGATAGGTTTTTAATCAAATATTGTATTACTTCCGAGACTAGCTACAATTACCATAATTTTCAAAAATTCCTTGCATTAAAGCTAATAAATGAAATGTCGGGTGAACACCAGAAATTAAGAATTTCTGTTGTCAAGTAATTACTCTCGTAATTGAACTTGCGGAACTTCGAAATGATCTTCGTCTTTCGGATTTATTTGTTCCTGATATTGTCAAAGATGTCTTGAAAGTTGCTCCATTTCTTTCAAAAATCGCACCGCTTGCAAATCTTTCGTTCACGTGAAGTTTTCAAATTTCAAACGATCAAAACCATTTCCCTTTCAGAATTGTTGCCGTTCAAAACGAGAACTTCCACAGAAAACCACGAGATTTGCCCTAAAAAGTATTTGAGCTGGTCTGATAAGTGAAAAATAAATAGAAGAAAAGTCCCGCATGTTTCGTGGGGTTTATGAGCCATTTTAGGAGTCCACGAGTTTTTAGACTTCGAATGAAATTCGAAGTCTTAAAAATAAATATAAAGTATATATAAAGTCTAAGAAGTCTAAAATCGAATCAATCTTCCAAAAACTGTTTTCGTAACGAACTTTCACGGGAAAAGTCTGATTGCAAGTTCACCAGGAGCCAAGTTATCTAGTCGGTGAATTTGGTTCGGGAACTGCCACGAGAATTGCGCTTTTTGGACAGGGTTGAACCTTTATCAAGTTCTCAAACATCTATTCTGAACCACCACTGCAACATTCCTTCGCAGATCTGTATCAATGAGATCACCGCGCATTCTCCCCTGTCCTCTCTGCACAAATCCACCCCCTCTCCCCCGTCCCCCATGGACCAGAGACGACCTCCTCCGGTAATTTGGTGAGAGACGGTTACCCTAGCCCGACGTCATCCTCCTCTCTCCAATGCTTACATTAGTCCAAGGTTTTCGCATCCCTTTGGTATTCGGAACTGAGCCAGCCGCTGTTCTCTATACAGAAAACATGGGAAAAATTGAATAGTCACGTAACCCACATTACGCACCTCCTATTCCACACCTGTGTGTTACCAATATGAGAACTTTGGAAAAAGCAGCGCACAACGAAGAATCAGGAAGAAAAACATAAAACAAATCAAGGGAATGACTACCGGCCATTGAAAAAAAAAACTGTTATTTTAGTAATAAGAAATACAGTTTAAAATATTCAAACGCTAATGCCTTGCTAGAAATAACCTCTTTCACGAGTCTTTCCCTTTCCTCCCTCATGATGCGTTCCTTCTCTGCCTGCTCTTGAAGACGCTTCTCCCGCTCCTCCTGGAAAAAATAAGATAGGCAGATTATTATTTTCGCCACCCTCAATAAAGAATAGCGAGAGAGAACATGCTCTCTATTTCTTCTCTACCTATGCCGTTTCACTTGTATCACATATGCAACGTAAGGAATGGTGACAAGCGTACCCAGAAGCACACGTAAGCATCATCGAACAAATCTGCGGGATCTCATGATCAAATGCAAGCACCAAAACTGCTTATGGATACACGTAACCAACCAATTGATATCACCTTCACCCGTGATTAATTATACTAGGCAACACCTAATTGTCTTGAAAGAACGAGTCCACACCCGCTCATAGTGAGCCATTCATTACGGCTACTAATGACATCTTCACATTTACCGGGGATAATCGAAACAACGAGTAAAGCTGTATGCACCTCGGCTTTCCGCGCCTTCTCCGCGAGTTTTTGCTTCTTCTCTTCTTCCATACGTATGTCCGCTTCTCTTCCTTCTTTTTCTAGGCATATCACGCGCCTCTGCCTTTCTAACGATAATACAACTCGCGCAATTAGGCGAGTTAAATTTCCATCGTCACCCGTTTACGCACCAAACAGACCAGTTTCATTCTCCTCTTCTTTTAGCTCGCCTTTTTGCCTCCTTTTCTTCTTCTAACTTCTTCTAAATATCCCATCATTACGATTAATTACCTAATGATGTAGAAATCAGGACAAAAGAAAAACAAGAGAATGTCAAATCTTTTTTGTAAGCTATACTTAAGTATACATACCCTTTTCTCTTCTTCTTTTCTTTTTTCTTCCTCTTGCTTTCGCTTTGCTTCAACTTGATTATGCGTCATTACTTGCTAAAACGATATACTTCTCAAGATAAGTTTGTCCATTAAATTATTAAATACCTTAAGATGGCAAAAAAAAAACCCGTACCATTATCAGTGCTTGTTGCAACATCAACAATTTCTGCGGATCTGTGGTTAAGGAACTGAGCTGTTGCATAGCGGAGGACAACTGAAAACAATTCTGACTAACACTTTCAGTTTGATCGACTGAATACGAACAGTGCTCGAGAATATGGTTAATGGGTTACTTAAACGTTGAGTTGGTGGTGAAAACCGGTCCGTTACGTCTAAAAAACTTATCTCTATTTTGCTATGAGTAGTACAACTTTTCAAAAAATAGGCCGGGATAACTAGCTTAGCAACGGCCTATTCTTCCAATGTTTACTATTGGTTTGACAATAGGAATAGCATCTCGAAAACCAAATTTAGCCAAGCTCTTAATTAACAACTAGACTTGTGAGCTTTACAGTGCCTTGCAGAAAATCTGGCTCTCATAGTGTGTCGTGATTCCTGGCGATACATCAGCCATACACGCTAATCCAAAAGAAAGCAGGCCACAATCAAAAAACCCAACAAGAAGTTTACTGGAAAAATTCAAGAAAAAAAGACCTCTGCCATCTGAGTAGACGTCATGTTTATACCCATTCCATTCAAAGCTGCTATAGCCTGTTTCGATGCAATCATGGCTGCTGACGACGCTGCTGCTGAAAGTCAGATATTACCAGTAATTTGAGCAAAATTATATCATACAAAATACTGGCACCTCAAAACTCTGCCGAGAGCCTCAACACCTATCACGCGTACTTCGTGAAACGAATGTCCAATCTATTCCTGCCACTGTTCAACAATTCACGTACATTAGTGCCAGCATAATACGATTCCTACCAGCAGCGCTGTCCCAACCGCAGATACACCCGAATACCACATATTTTTGTGGATTTGAAACGACCGCAAAATTCAAAATTGTTATTGGGACTTCTCAAAATTGAACACTAATGCAAAGCCATTCACTGAATAGAGGTTCCCATAAGATCCAGATATGTTCCATGTCAGTGCAAAAATTACTTGATTTTTGCTCCAATAAGTACTAGAAAAAAAGTAAGCTGAACGACAAATACAATGACGCCGCAGACATACGATGAGCTGGAGAAAGTCAAACTTAAAAATACGGATTTTGTAGACAAGTGCAGTTTAACCCCTTCCAAAAATAAAGGCTCATATCAAACTCGACAAGATGAAAATGTTACCAGCTGCAGCGTCGCCATTCGAGGTACTGGCGTTCGATGTGCTGGGTTCAATCGCAACAACGTCCCTGTCATCTTGTGTAGGAGCAGTCTAAAAAATCTCAATATTTACTTGTACTGCATAAACTGGTGACAATCAGTCGCCCCCCCCAGTCAGTAACGTACCTCACCCTCACAATGTAAGCAACTAAACAGATAATGCGACGATGACCATACGCCATAAACTGAGGCAAAAAAATGTGATCTACATTAATAATTCGAAAGTAGGGGCTCACCTACACCAGATTTTGAAATTAATGGCGAACATATGAAAAACATGCTTTATTCATAGAAGATGGTAATCACAGTATAGCTCAATTGAAACAAACAATGTTAAATGACAGTGCTATTCACACCATGCATAACCATCACCGAACACCTGAAGCGAGGTGGAGAAAAATGAAGGACGCATGAGTTGAACGCTTAGATGAGACCAAAGAGCTGGATTATATACCTCATGGCACAAGGGAATGCAAGTACCATGAGTGGGTATGGTATTTACAGATAAGAACAAAAGGAAAACAAAATGGCTTCAATCAAGCCCTTCAATTTTGATACTAAACTATATTCAATTATATCTGCGAATATGAGGTTTCTACTGAAAGAAACTCATAATCTGCAAAAATAGCAGAGCAGAGCAAAGACCTGCAGCTTAAAGCACCGCTTTAAACCCGCCAAGAATCAATCAATCATTTCTGCAGATTCCTTGGAGCGAATGGATTCTTTGACGAAATGCATGATGAGGACGATGTTGCAGTTTTGATTGCAATTACCTGTATTTCGTCGGAGGACGACGACCTAACAGGCAAAATCGGTTTATAACTTCGAGATGAATTAGGCCTTGGTGCACCCGCAAGTGTGTGCTACTAAAGGCTGAAAAGCAAGATATCGATCGGACCTTTTCTTCCTCTACCTGCGTCATTGCTGGTCTTTCTCACTTTTGGTGATACGGACTATAACAAACGACGTGAATGTGGTGGTTATTAAGAAGATGACTAGTCCACAATTTAGAGAACGTTAATAATTCCAATCTTTGAATCAACTTTTCTATCCTGATCTCTCAATACCGCTAACAATCGATGCTACATGTACAGTATCATCATCGCTTATGCATTCAGAAAAACTAGCCAGAAAATATCACAAGTGAAACACAGCCTACGTCATACGGCAAGCGTAAAATTTATAATAGCTTTCAATAACATACTTGTTTAGGTCGACTCCTTCGTCTTTCATTAGTTTCTGAGCATTTGGAGAAGCTAATATGAACGCCTTGTCCGGATTACGTCGAGTGTACTCCACAAGCAACCGGCTGAAACAAAAAATTCGAACTTATGTTCAAATTGAAGAAGCATTCGATATTTACCTCAGCTTAATCTCTCCTTTGAAATAAGGGAGAATTTCTTTACTGAAGATGGTGTAAATGCCTTCAGAAGCTTTAGCATAGGTATCAGAACTCAACAGCACGGACCAATAAAGATCCATCTGACTTCGCAGAGCTCGTCTAAAAATAACCATTGGAAAACTTATTAGCAGGATATTCCAGTATTGAGTCAAGCCTGTGTCGCGGCATTCACTATGTTGCGAAAATTCAATCTGTTCTAACGTTTTCCATAAGGAAGGGGGTACAAAGCTGATCTGCTTTGATAGGAGTTCTTGCAGAATTTGATGATTCTATCTCTTTCTGTCGCACTATAGTACCGAACGGGATTTTTTTTTTGAAGAAGTAATGGAGGTAGGTAAAGGATGGAGGATGGAAAAGGGGAAAAGACGTACAAGGAAGTTCTCTCCGAAGCGATTCTTAACCAGGTTCCACAAAAGAAAACATGAAACAAAACCAAAACTATAGTGATATAATAATGATGTCGAAGGCGACTATACGGCGAGCAGAGCAATGTGCGCAGTTACAAAAGGAACTCCCATGACACCTTCAAGAGTTCACCTGATTTTCGGCTTTGACTAGAGGGAAAAAATTAGAAAAGAAATACTTACGCCAAGTTTTCAGTCCACAAGAAATCGAAACGTGGTTGAGGTTTCCCAGCAGCCAAGGCTCTGGAATTTTAGACAGAACACCTTGAAAAAACACAAGTGAGGAAAATGTGGAACTCACGCTTCACATTTCTTCTTATGGGTAACTTTACTATTCTCTATAGCAGTCGTCACAGCTGAAAATACTTTTGGTGAGAGCATCGAACTTCTCCTACGTCTGAGTGATCAGTTTAATGCAAGTTCCTGTGTCTAATAAGTGCATCTGCACCAATTCGTCGGCTCTAACAATAAAATGCATATTCCGCAATTTAGATAAGTGAATCAATCGCTTCCGTGGTAAAGGTATTCACAGAGGCAAAATGCTGAGTGACTGGAAGAAAGTGAATCTCATATCTCGAGAAAGTGAGTCTCATATCTCGATCGGAGTAGGCTTGCCACCCGAATGGTGGCTGCTGCATTTGATATAAGCCGAACGGATAAGCTGTTCCAAAATACTCTACTGGAATCAGCGAAGCTTGCCGGAAACAGCTTATCTACGCGACTTCTATCAAGTGCGGCCGCCACGTCACTTCCGATGGGACGCCTTTACAGATAAGGAAAAGGATTGGAGTCAGGCTCGAACAGCTTTGGGTTGATGAAATGTGCCGAGTAATTCCAGCAAAAAGTTGCATGTTGTCCTGAAACGACAGCATGCAACAGTTACACATTCATGGTCCATGCGAACCCAACCGTGAAGACTTGAAGCACATGACCAAAGGTCAGAACATTGTCCCAGCTGTCACAAAGTACACAAGAAAAGTTTCACAACACTTCTGGGGTCGGGTGCAGCAAGCCCCAACGAGGAGATGGGTGCTCCCCTCGTTGGTGCTTGCTGCGCCCGACGTCTGGTTAGGCGCTGAAAGATGAAGGTGGAGATGTGAAATGGTGCATCAGCAATGAAGAAAAAAGAGAAACCGTCGAAACATGTAAAAGAGGGTCCATTTGGGTAGTTGAATCTAAGTGATCTACAACAAAGCAAGAAGAAGCCAAAATTCTTATCGCAAGATGGCTCTCATTTGTTGAAAACAATTTAGCAAGTTAGCTAAGTCACTGTCTACTCTATTATTTAACTTTACGCTGATACTTTTTGTTTTATGTTCAGTCGCGAACCCGCTTAGCACGTGGTATCGTCACAGGGACAGACACTCCGGCAATAGGAGGGCACTGCAAACAAAACAAGTCCCTTTGTCCTCGCTACGCAAATTAAGCGGTAATCACCACAGCCTGCTTTCGGTCCTTAGCCACAAGGA